TGGTAGAAAGTAATAATCATTTTAATAATAATAATAATAATAATAATAATAATAATAATAATAATAATACAATATTCTTTTTAAACAATTACAATGGTTAAAACAATAACTTTATTTTCATTTACTATCAATAAAATTTCTTAATGTTAGCAACAACAACAACACAATAGAGAGCAGAAAGGCAAAAATGATTCAGATCACGATTTATCTTCGTTGTATTATTTATTAGTTTTTCTTGATATTTTTTCTATTCGTAATACAAACTCTTATTCAAATTATTTGTTTTATTTATTATCTGAATGAAAATTTATATAAACTTCCTGAATAAATATAAAATATAAAATCAATTCGGGAAAGCTTCGTAGATCGTTTTGTACAACAGTCATTTTCACTGATGTAGGTAGCCTCTTTAACTCCAGATCATCAACAAGATCAAAATTATCTCTCACTTTTTTTATACGTAACAAATAAACTCTTGCAAGCATTTCGTCGTGTAACTAGTACAAATTTAGATAACTATCTCCAAAAATTAAAAATTTTAACACTGCTTGCACATAACATCGGGGGATGTCATACTATTAGTATTAGAATCACAAATATAATTAATGTCATTATGGTAAATCAATATTAATAAATTTTTAATGTTACATCGACCAATTATCCTTAAAAGAAAAATTGCATAACTCCAAAGCCCATAAACTTTTTTTTATTGACAAAATTAGAAAAGGCTCTCTATACCGATGAACTAGAGGTATCATACTACATTACATTCAAAAATAGCAATAAAATCTTTTTTTTTTCACGGACTAGTTACCATTACGAAAGTGTGTGTTTTTTGGAATATGATGATTTTTGAAGAATGTTTATTCACCATTGGCATTTCCTCCCCTCAAAAATCTATAGATACCGTATTACAATTTACCTAAATATGGAACCAAAACCTTACTTTTTTGTGGACTAGTAGCATTTCAAAAATACATATAATTGCTTCGCACTCAAAAAACAAAACTTATTGATCGACATTATGTTATTTAATTTGATATAATTATAATATGACAACCCCCCCCCAACATAGCATGTTATACTTTGTACATTATTACAAAAATTTTATTAAATATAAAAGCAATAAATGGCCGTCTAACATATTGAAGTTGTTGTTAATCATCGCATGAATAAGAAAGAATATGATTTAATTTCTCATTTTTGTCAAAAATTCTTAAAGGTTTTAATGGTGGCGATATTAGTTTGATTTACGACGTCTCATTTTACAAAATTTCAAAATCAATCAAATTGATAATTATTAAATTTTTTTATTTTAAATTTATTTTTTTTAATTAACTCTATATTTTACAAATGTGTATTTTAAAATTTTTTTTTTTTTAGTTGTTTTGAAAAAAAAATGGAGAAAAGAAAAAAAAGATTTGCATATAAAAAAGAAAAGAGGAATATAAAAAAAGAATAAAAAAAATCTACATTTTTTTAAAAAAAAAAGGGGAAAAAATTTATTTAAAATTAAAGAAATTTGTGGTGAATATATTTTATTTTTTTCCTGCTCAACCCTGTCTAATCCCAACCAGTAGCATTAAGTTCTTCAGCTGAAGATCCTTCTCTTTGCCTATATTGGTGATCATAACGTCTTCCATTAATTGAATTTGGTTCTTCAACAGGAGTGTTTACAACATTTTCAGGTGTTGAAGGTGTATGTAAAACAGTACCTTGATCAAAATAACGATCTACTAAACCATCCGTATTTGTTGTAGGTGTTGTTGTACCAGTAGCAGAACCATTACCAGCATTACTATTATTATTTGATGAGGATGAAGATGAAGAATAATGGTGAGGACTATTTTGTTGTGAAGAAGCATTTGTTACCATTTGAAGATTACTGCTAGTGTAGCCGTGTGTAGAATTATTAGTAGAACTGGGAGTTGCAGGACCATTTCCTAAACCAGGTAATTGTTGATAATTAGTACTAATCCTAGGAGAAGATTGAGCCGATGATGGAGTAGTTGCTTCAGGATAGTCATACTTTATACGTTTGCTGTTGTTATTCCAACCGGAGAATGCGGAAGCAGAATTACCAGGTGAAGAATTTGGACTCATATTCATAGGACTTGGAAATGAACCAGCAGCGGTTACATTTATCGTAGCAGAAGCAATATTGTTTAATGGTGGTGGAGGAGGATGCATTGCAAGAGGTGGACTTGGTTGGTTATTGTTGTTGTTGTAATCTTCATTATCATCATCGGTAACAAAGCCACGTTTTTGACCAATTAATTGGCTAGTTGAACCATTTGCGTGATTACTATCGACAAAGTTATTATATACTCTTAAATATCCATTACCATTACTTGTTGTGGTATTATCTTCATTCTTCACAAGTTAATAAAAATCATTAATTAATTAATTATTAAAATGATTTTTATATATATATATGTATATATATATATATATTATCATCTATATAACACTTACATTTTGATTAGATACAACAGTTACACCATTTTGAGATTGCGATTGACTATTTATTAAACCATAACCAGTATCATAATCGTCAATATGAGCAGGTGGGTGCGAATGTGATGATGGATGAGATCTTGAGTTATTGTTAGCATTAGTGGAATATACTGGAACAGCAGGTGGATTATTTTGAATATTGCCATTACGTTCTGGATAACCGGCAGCAGGAGGATAAGAGTTTTGGGAGTGGTCTTGAGATGAAGGATTATTTGAAGCAGCAGCAGCAGCCAACATTTGAGTAGTAGCACCATTTCCACCACCATATGGATACCATGGCCTTGTAGCGTCAGAAGTAGTGTATTGAGAACTGCCGAAACTATTTACATAATGAGGACTTGGTCTCCATTGAGATGCGGGACCGTTGCCTATTGAAGGGATTCTTGTTGACATTGCAGGACCATAAGAATTATGAAGAAAGATACTAGGATCATCGACAAATACTGGATAAAGTAATTCATTTATTT